TGGATGAAAGACTGGGGCCACCAAGACTCACTGCGACCAAACCACCTTCCAGCCTCTTAGAACAACAGGAGGCCAGGCTCTTTTCCTTGATACATGTGCACACATATACGTATAGTCACACGACAGAGTACAGCCATGCGTGACAGCACACACATACACAGGATCACCCGTGACAGCACACACACAGTCATGCAGACACTCACACAGGCCCCCTCTGCCCTGTGCACCCCGCACCCCGCACACTCAGCATGCTTCCTAGTCCTGATCACATCTCTGCACCCCCCAGCCTTCTGGACAGGCACCCCAGTCCGGCCCCTGGGTCCTCACCTCGGGAACCTCCGTGGTTTCTCGAGCAGCTCCCACAGGCTTGTTGGTGGGGGTGGGGTCCTTCCCCACGTCGTCAGTGTCTTCATAGTACGGATACTCGTAGTAATAGGGCTCGCCCTCACCATCTCCTTCCGGGTACTGAAAGTCAAGCCGCAGGATGAGAGGAGCCCGTGGAGGGACAGGTGCCCAGCAGCCTCCCGCAGGGGCCTCAGCCCACACCAGGTCTCGGGGAAGCTGGTCCACAGGCTGGCAGCACACAGGTTCTACCACCTCATCCCCCTAGGACCCGGAGAACTCGATGGTGCCCGGCCACCACCACCTGTTCCGACTATGCTGGACGATGGTCATACAGCAGCACGTGGTCACCCAAATCCCTTTCTCTGACTCTCAGCTCCAAACCACAAACCAGGGTCCACAGTGAGAGAGGGCCTCGTCCCAGGACCCTCCCCACAAACGACCTAGGACAGGCATGCCGGGGGCTTCTGCGGGGAGCCCATTTCCAGGTTAAGAGTGCTCACAGGTCCATCTCACAAGACCCCCCGCTCAGGAGGGGGTGCTGAGCCTGTGCTGACTGGTGGGGGAAGGGGTGCCTGAGACCCTCTCTCATCTAAGAACGACTCTGAAAAGCCACGTGCCTGAACCCCCTCTTGTGAGCCCACCCCTTCAGGATGCAAAGTCCAATGACTGAGAGTCAAGCACCTGGGTCACTCGTGTGAATGCACATTCTGACCCACTGACGCCACCTACAGGGGGTCCCACCTTCGGTCCCCTCTCCCTTCACACTGCCATCCCTCCAGGGAATCTCCCACACTCCGCAGGGTAAACCCACCCAGAGCTGACTCACATATTCATCGGGGTTGGGGTCCTGCGACTGGGGGGTGTCGGGGACCGCGGTGTCACAGTCGGGACTGTAGTGCTCACAGTAATCGTATGCTGCCCGGTGGTCAGAGACGAAGAGAAGCTGCTGGATGTCACCCTGCAAAGGGACAGTCACTGTGAACAGGGGCACACCAGAGGTCACGCGGGTATGGAAAGGACAGTCATGTGATCAGTGGGCACACCAGTGGTCACGCAGGTGTGGACGGCAGACCAGGCCAGGCCATGGAAGGCCTCTCCTCTCAGCACCTTCCTTCTGCTGAGTCAGTGCCTGAGGGCCACTCAGGTCCACCAGGCCTGCCCTCCCTTCCACCCAGCCACCCTTCCATCAACCCACCCTTCCATCCAACCTCCCACCCACCCATCCATCAGTCACCACTGGTTCACCCACCCTCCAACACCCTTCACTGTTCACATATTCCATGGACCCGTCCACCTATCACCCACCCTCCCATCTACCACGCATGCGTGCATACACCCATGCCATCCACACACCCACCTACACCTACTGCACTCACTGGCTAATCCACCTTCCCAGCCAGCCAGCCACCAGACGCCTGGTGAGGACCTGGCAGGGGCCAGGCCTGGCGGCAGAGCTTTTGAATGCTGGGGTGAAGAATGCAACCTTACACTGTCCCATCCCAAACTGTAAGTGCTTAAAAGTAGCCCAGCCCAGCCCCACTATCCACCCACCAACCACCAGGGGCTTGTAGGAGGCAAGGCCTGGTCCCTCGAAGACAACATGTGGTTCCTCAAGGAGTCAAGCACAGAATAACAATAAACAAAATTAAAAACCCAACCAAGTCGATTCTGACTCATAGCCAACCCTCCAGCAGGTTCTCAGAGGCTGTAAACTGTAGAGAGGAGATTGCCATCTTTCCAGAGCGGAGCAGCTGGGGATTCAAACTGCCTTTTCAGAAAAACTTCCCACAGACTACATCACCAGAGCTCGGTGAGTTTTGAGTTTGTCTTTTATTTTCGAGAGAACCTCAATGGCAGGACGTCAGTCGTCAGGCTGTCAGTGTCCCTGCAAATACCCTGAATGGATGTTAGGTGGCACCAGGGCTCACTGGAAGGTCTCCAAACACCACCACTGTTCTCCACACGTGGCCCCTGCCGTCCCATGTCGAAGCTGAGACGCCTCCAGGCTGGGGCCAAGCAACCAGGTAGATAGACGTGCCTTCCACGGCCTGAGCCCCAATGCAAGCCCCAGATGTCCATCAGGGTGCATCCACCCCCAGCACCACACACATGCACAGGTGCACACCCTCACACACAGGTGAGCACATATAGGTGAGGATGCTCACAGAAAGGCATGTCCACTCACACACAGGTGTGCACCCTCACACACAGGTGTGCACCACACAAGCTCACACACAGGTCAGCACACTCACTCACAGGCATGCATTGGGTACACAAAGGTTTGCACACTCACACAGGTGAACACACAGGTGTGCACACTCACACACAGGTGTGCACCATGCAAGCTCACACACAGGTGAGCATACAGGTGTGTACACTCACACACAAGTATGCACCACACAATCTAACACAAGTAAACACACTCAGGTTCACACATACGTGTTCACATTCATAGACATGTACGGGGTACACACAGGTGTGTGTACTCACATACAGGTATGCACCACACAAGCTCCCACAATGGTGAACATACACGAGTGTGCATGCTCACACACAGATGTGCACGCTTACACACAGATGTGCACGCTCACACACAGACGTGCACGCTCACACAGATGTGAACGCTCACACACGGACATGCATGCTCACACACAGATGTGCACGCTCACACACGGACATGCATGCTCACACACAGGCGTGCACGCTCACACAGGCATGCATGATCACACACAGATGTGCACACTCACATACAGGCACACACATACACAGGTACTGGCCTCTCCAGCCTGCATCTCCTGCCATGAAGCCTTGGAGCTCTGTGTTCTGGGACCAAACTCCCATCACAGACGGGCCAAGGACACTGATTCAAGACAACTGGTACCCCGGTGAAGGGGACCCCCCGGCTGCAACGAGCCTATGTGTTCTTCCACCAGCTTCAGGCTGTCAGACAATTAGAGAGAGATTTGGGGATCAGGGCACAAAGGTGACCACAGACAGCTGCCCACTCACTCCTGGCCCTCCCCTGACCACATCATTGAAAATTCGACATTTGAAGGGGCCGCTGTGCTTCCCAGACACAGAGTGAACGTGCGAGTGGTCCCTGCCCGTCACCCTGCTGACCCTCCTGACTTCCACCCCAGCACAAGGCCAGGTCCCCCCCCCTCCGCTCCACCCTCCGCCCTGTGTGTCCGCAGAGCCCACCCCTGTCTGCACCCTTTCCCACCCTCCCTGCCTCCCTCTCATGTCAGAGGCTCCTGGGCCACATTTTAAACTCTCCAACAAACAAAAACCAGCCATGTGACAAGAATCGTGAATCAAAACTACACATTTTTTCACAGTGAACATGACTTCTAGTTCAAATCACACCCAACTCAAATAAAACATCCTCTTTCCCAGCAGCCTGGCATCAACCTGCTCCCCATACGCTGCAGGGGGGCAGAAAGCCGGGCATTCTGGGGAGCCCTGGGACCTCCAGCACTTGGAGCACCCCTGACCTGAACAGTCTTGGAGACTGGATTTGCACAACATGAAGGCTGGCAGTTTGAATTCAACCAACTGTTCCATGGAAGAAAGGCCTGACAATCTGCTTTTGTAAAGACAAGAAAACCTTGCAGGACAGTCTCTGTCACAGTGGGATCGCCATGGGTCAGAGCTGACCCCAGGGTGGCGGGGGTGTCACAGTCAACCGGTCAACTGCTGATCAAAGGTTACTTCCAGTAACACACCCCCTGCCCCAGGGCAGGCCTGGGTCACAGCGACCTGTGTGTTACAGACGCGTGTGCTGTCCCTTGCTGCGCTGTGTCCACGCTGGTCACTTTGTGTGGACCCTTTGCAGCAGCCATCTCTCATTCTCTATGGTCCTGAACACCAAACACGATGTCCACACCACAGTGAGGGCCCTCCATTCGGTCTCCCTTTAACACATCCATCTGTATCTTCTTAAAAGAACCCGCGAGAGCAGGGGAGCAGATGTGCTGTTCTATACATGGGGAAAACCACGTGGGGTCTGTTCGTTTGGGTTTCACGCTGCACTCCTGTGGTCTTTACGTGGCTGCCTCGGAGACAGCCCCAAGTTCCCCAGGGCATGTCCACCCATCTCTGTCCCTAGAGGCTCAGCACACGGTCCCCTGTTCCTGCCTCCATGGGGGGGCCTGCAATCACCCCGTGTGCAGGCACTCACACCCCAGGCACCCACAGATGGCCAACACTGAAGGCCGGCTGCCTGCCCCCGATCAGGTGAAGCGCGTGTACACACACAGCTCACGCCTCCCGGGACCCCAAGGGTGTCGGTGCCGGCAGCCCTTCAGCCACTCAGCCTGGACGGCGTCAGGGCCGGGCCTGCACAGCTTCGTGCAGATACGGACGCTCTGCCCTGTCTGGGATGACCCCCCTCATCTGCAGACACACCCGCTTACTTTCAGGGCATTCTCTCCATTTCACCAGGAGGACTAATGTCACACAAGCAAGTAACCCCAAACATGGACCCAGAGCCCCCAGCAGTAGAGCAGCAAGACCAGGCTGTGCTGATGTGTCCCCAAAGACACGTGGTCACTTATGGTGTGTTTACACAGCAGGCTAAGCCCCTGGGCCTCCAGGAAGACCCCCGAGGGTCACTCTGACCTAGCATGTCCCCCAGCATGTGCCCCAAGAGCAGCTTTCTCACCCTTCCTGCAGCTGGCAGGGCCAGGTGCTCACACATGCACCATCCTCACAGCCACCCGCACTGTACAGACACCCAGGTGCAGGGTACGCATGTGTACTCATCCTCGTGGCCACCCAGGATGGGGAGCCACGTCCACCTCGCATCTAACTTCACCAGCGCAATCTCAGAAAGGCAGCTTATCCTCCGCAGAACACACAGAACATTCAGGTATGGGGCCCTCCAGCTCCCAGAGCCACCTGCCTACTGCCTGTTCCCCACTGGAGTCCGAGGGCCACAGCTACAGCCCCGCATATATGGCTCCAGCCCCGCCTCTGCCGCACAGCTCCAGCACCCCCCTCACGGCTCCAGCTCCCACCCCCGGGCTTCA